CTTCCTCACATCCTATGGTCATACCGTACTACTGTTCACTCTTCCACAGACGAAACACCCTATAGCTTAGTCTATGGCATGGATGCTGTCCTTCCGGTTGAAATAGGCTTGTCGATCCCTCGAACAATAAACTTTGTCGAGAGCACTAATGACGATGACATCAAGCTAAACCTCGACCTGCTCGAGGAATGGCGAGACGCTGTCAGAATTCGAGAAGAAAAATATAAAGAGATTCTGCGAAGACACTATAACAAGAAGGTGAAGGCCACAGATCTCGCGGTAAGTGATCTCGTGCTAAGGAAAAATGAAGCCAGTCGAGCAGAAACTCCTGGAAAACTCACAGCAAATTGGGAAGGGCCCTACAAGGTTATCCAGACTTTTCCGGCGGGCAGTTACCGCTTGCAGACCTTGGATGATAGCGGGACTATTCTCCCTCGATGGTGGAACATTCAGAACCTTCGCAGGTTCTATGTTTGAATCTTTGCTTGCTATTTGCCCATTGTGTGTTTTACTTGCTTTATTTACCTCGTCATTTTTATCCTCTCGTATGTAATGCTAACCCGGGTCCTCGGGTAATTATTTAATAAAAGATATTACATATTCTTTTCATTGTCGACATTATATTCATGAGTAGTCATCGAGATGGACTCTCTCTTCAGGGTCATCCTCGTTAAAGAGCCGTGTATTCAACATCCGGACACAAAACCGAGGAATTCTCCTCACATACGCTGCAAAACGCAGTATCAAATCGAGGAATTCATACATAATTCCCTCGATAGAGCCGTGTACTTTACATCCGGCCTAAAAAGTGCTATATAAATTGATACTCGAGTTTTTTTCAAAATAATCCATTAATTCTCTCCACACTATTGTGCGAGCTTGTAGAAAATACACGTATTTTCTCTATACTATTACAAGAACTTCCCTGATAGGATTGTCAGGAGAAGGATGAATAATCCCCTTAAACCCATGCAGGCTAAGGAGATTTACGCATTGATTAAGCTTGTCCTTAAGATCTACGATCTCTTGATCCTGGGCATGTACCCTCATTAATAACTCTTCTCGAGAACTTTGAGTTCGAGGATCCACTGTTTCCTCTGAGTGCTCAAAAACCTCGAAATCAATGTTGTTATCTAGCGACAGATTTTGAAGTTTGGCAATGTAATCCGTAAGAAGCTCGATCTCACGGGCTTTCCTGTTCAATATGTCCATGGCTGCAATGAAGCGGCAAGTTCTGGTCATAATCATGTGTTGAACTCGGGCTAGCACTTGATGTTTCTCAAGGAACCAGGGGGACATGGTAATCTGTTGTCTTTCCCTCAACCGAGCATTCTCCTTCTCCAAGACAACCAGCTCATCATGGATTTCGGCCTCGAAAGTCAGTGAATCACCGTAGTCTTTCAAACTTTGAGCCTCCCGACGCTGAATCTCCTCACGAAGTTCTTTAATCTCATTTATCAGATGCTGATTAACTTTCACATTATGCGTCCTCATTGCATCGAGAAGGTCATTCTCTAGGTTTGCCACTGTCTCGATATTGTGCACATCGGCACGACCTCTTAGAATTCCGCTAATCATAGAATATAGCGGGTACTCACTCGATTGCTCGTCCGATATAACCATGAGGTGAACACGGTGGACGGGCCAACTATCCTGCTTCAAAATAGGAGTGTAAGATGTTTGCATCATACCAGGAAAAAACAAAAAGGGCGATGCTTGTATAAGTACAAAAAATAAAATAAAATGGAGTAATCAGTTCATTACAAAAACAGCAGTTCAATAAGCCTAGAAGCTATTACAAAAGACAGGATTCATACAGTATCACTGCCAGGAGGGTGATCCTTGGAGGGGTTCTGAGATGCGTCCTCAGCATTTCTCTGCACTCCAGAGTGGCCAGTGTCGGCAACATCTTCCTCGGTGGCTTCATCGGTATCCTCGAGCTCAATACCCATGTACTCATCTGGTACATCGGGTATGGGGTCCTCTTCGCTTGGACCCTTGGTAAGGATGGCGGGTACATCACCTGGAAACGATGCAATGTCTACAGGAGAACTCATTTTTTGCCAAGGCACCAGTCAGAGCTTCCCACAGGGGCAGTTGCTCGAGGCTCAACTTTGTTAGGACCTTCACCATTGCCTCGTGTATGGTCTTCTTCAGGTCCTTTATCAGGAGTTGCTTGAACCATTTGGCTTTGATGGGTCTGTCTTGATCGAGCCTCCTCAAACCTGCTACGCCAACCCAGTGCGCCCCGCACTTAGTGGCTACCAAATTCATCTCCTCGAGTGTTGCGGCCATCCCTCCTGTGGATAGTATCTTATACATGAATGCAGCACACTACTGGTGCAGCTCCTCTTTCGAGATGTGCAAGCTGGCAAATGACTTCATCTTCTCATCCAGCTCGTCATACTTGGCTTGTACCAAGGCAATCTCGGCCTCCTTAGCTTGGTCTTGGCAGGCCTTTTCCTCGGGAGTCACCACCTCGAACAAGGCTTCATCCCTCTCAGATCGAGCTATGACCAGGTCTTCTCGCAGTTTCCTTAGCTGCACCAGATAGGCCATCAAAGCCGTGCTTATCTACACCAACGTAACACATTAGGAACACATTGATGTGGTAATGGTTCGTGGTAAACATTCATTTGCAACAGTGGAAAATTCCTTACCAGTCTCAGACTATCAGCCTCATTTAGCTGAGCAGCAAATTCCTCGAGGACAGGACACTCTATAGACGGTGGGTTGCTAAAGGTGTGCACAGCCACGGACGGACCTCCCTCGAACAGTTGAGGGGGCAGAGTAATCGCCTCTCCCTCGAGGGGGCCCTTGCCTTTCTCTGGTCCAGGGGGAACGAAACTTGGCCCAGTTTCCGTAGGAGGATTTTCCAAAGTCTCAGTAACAGGGGGCACTGTCTCGTTGCCTGGTGCTGCAGTTTTTTTCGAAGGCGCATCCGTTCTGGCCTTCTTGGATTTTGCTCTATCACCAGCCTTCACGATCCTCTTCTTCTTTTTCTTCTGCCCAAGGGCTGCAGTGGTGGAAACATCCTCATCTGAATTCACAATAGTAAAAGGATCTTCATCACCAAACAATTGAGAACCAGCGTTGCTTGACGACATGACCTAAGAACAGACAAGAGAGAAGCAAATGTTTAGTACCTTTGTTTTCTCCAACAGGAGTTTTGAGAGAAATTCTGGTTGAGGTCTCGACATTAGCATTCGCATCATCATTCTCCTCGGTAGATACAGGGGGTATGTAATATTGTACGTCGTTCCACTTAACGACCTTAGAATATTTCAGGATTTTCTCCACATCTGCATCAAGCTCCTCGATGCACTTATCGTCTTCTTGGGTCCACTCATCCTTTATTGCTCCAAGACCCTCCGTTTCTCGATGGTTCCACGACAGGCGATAGTTCTTAGAGCCCTTACAAACAAGAAGTCAGGCTTCCATTCAGGCGAGCTGCCCTACGCCTCGACCATCTTTTTAACGCCAGATCTAAGGCGTCTCTTCACAATGTACCAATCTTGGAAAGAGGTCGAAGCAACAACTACTTGGAAGAAATACCTCCACAATATCAACCGAGGTTTCACTTTTACATGTTGGCATACTTTTACAAATCCCAGAACAAAAGTTATTAAATTTGGGGTGAAACGAGCAAGGGGAGTCTTATAGTGCTGCACAATGTCCTCGAATAGAGGGAAGAGGGGGAATCTAAGCCCTAGATGCATAAAACGGTCATATACAGTAATTCTTCCTTCAGAAGGAGAATTAACTCTCTCGGTTCCTAATGGGGCTCTAGCCGCTAGATCTAAAGAAAGGTCATATTTTGTTCTAATGTTCTCTACCTTATCAACAGAATCTATGGTGGAAACGAAATCATCAACGGTTTTTCCCTCTGAATCTCTAACCATTGTTCAGTTATAAATTTTCCTTGACTACAATTCGAAAAAAAAAAAAGACTTTGAATGAAACCAGGATGGTCAGATCTGAAAACTTACTATTGGAGGAGGGAAAGACCACTCGCCCTTCGAGTTGTAGATCCCCAATGTTCTTCTGAATCCTTGATAGCAAGTCTCTTAGTAGTAACGTCGCTGGGGTAGTGTATTAGGAAGGGCTATGAATATTCCGGCAAGGATGGTCAGAGAACCTTGACAAGGAAAGGGAAATTGGGTTTTGCAGAGAGACAAAATGAAAGAGGAGCGGTGGAGTTTTCTTCTTAAAAATAAAAATTATTCTCCCACGTCTCCCTAATTACAGCCCACGATATGGCAGTTAGGGCGAGTTTCAAGGGAGTAATGATGGTAAAGCCGCCGTTTGGGGAACGTGCCCACTAATAACGCAGGGTTGAAAATTTGGGCGGGACCATGAAACGGGTCGCCTTCCCGGGTCAAGATTTAACCCACTGATTACGCTGCAGGCGTACAAAGTCGAGGGTTACGCATTTGAATCGAGGACACTTGACACATTGCTCGACAACTAGCTGAACGAGATTAGCCTTCCACTCTCGAGCTTGTTCCAGGTGACACTTACTTTGTGTCAAGCATTGTTTATCTTCTATAACTAACACTAAACAGGGGCATTTGACGAGTCCATATCCATCACCGAGACTGGACCGGCCCATTAACTGGGAAAGGAGTCCAACCGACTCTCTTAGGGCGGTTTAGGTTGTATAAACCTATTAGGATTAGGAGACTTCCCAGAGATTCTCATGCCTATAAATAGGGTTGATCACATCTCAGTACAGGTACGCAAATATAGCTTCATAAACTATACACACAATTGTTCCGATAACCCCTTATTGACTTAAGTATCGGAGTGTCTACCTTCGGGAGACCCCCAAGGCTTTGTTTTGCAGAAAACCCTAGTCAGAGTTCCACTGTTGGACCGGCGGTGCAAATCCAAGCTTCGTCATCGTCTCTTAAGTATGAGGTCAGGGGTTCGATCCATGTCCATAGAATAAAAAATTAAAAATTATTTGGTCAGTTCCTTACCGCTTAGAGTGGTGACCGTAGAGACTGAAAATTAGTATTCTCGCTATTTGCTGGAAAGACGCCGGAGAAATTAAAGAATTAAAAAGAAAAAAAAAAGAAATGTGGACGAGAAGCGCTTATCAAAAATGGTCTCCCAGTTTGGCGTGGAATTTATAAGGACTTTGACTACTCTAGAATTTTAGATAGGAACCGTCGGTCAAAATCAAAGCAGACAAAACAAAACAAAAGAGTGGTTCGCAATTCAACCCTAGTTTCAAGTTTCAAAGAACAAACTCTATAAATTCCCCGCCCTTCAGTCTCATTTCCCAGAATCCTCCCTGAAAAATGAAAAATGGCGTCAACCCAGCAGCAGCCTCTTCAGCTTGAGCCATGGAACGAGCTGAGTGGCAAAGTGGTGATGATCACCGGCGCCTCATCTGGGCTGGGCAATGACTTCTGCCTTGACTTGGCTAAAGCCGGCTGCAGAATTATAGCCGCCGCTCGCAGAATCGATCGGCTTCAAGCCCTTTGTGATCAGATTAACCAGATGGGTTCTTCCTCATCGGATGATTCAGCCGTTTCCGGTCAACTTAAAGCCGTCCCGATTGAGCTTGATCTGGGCTCTGATGGGCCTGCCATTGAATCCGCTGTTAACAGAGCTTGGAATGCATTTGGACGCATTGATGCTTTGATCAATAACGCCGGGGTTCGAGGTAATTTCCGTTTGTGCCTCTGAATGAGTTCTTTGATTTCTGTATGCGTTTCGTGTGTTTTGGAATTCAGAATTGTTGGAATTGATGGGTTCTTTCCCGTGTAAAAGTTCATTGCTTTGGTGTATTATTAGTAGAATAAATCTTTGCAGATCATTTTGAATAAGAAATTTGCTATCTAAGGAACAGTTTGGATTTTGCACGATAAGATGAATGCTTTGTTATCTGCGATGTGCTGGTAATTGATGAGTTTCAATCCTTGCAGATTTTGTTATTTAGTTTATTTCATTTTGGGCCACAATTCTGGAATAAGAAAAATATGATATTGGAAATTGAAGACATTACACGAAATTCCACTCAGAAATAATGCAACTTTTATTTTCGTTGTTAATAAGGGGAATTATGGGGAAAAATAGAAAATATTATAGTAGAGATTTAAATATCACCAAGGAGTTTTCTTCTATACTTCGAAGTTTATGTTCCCTTTAGGAATTTTCTCCTTTAATTTTCATCTTTTTTCCTCCTTTACTTGAATCAAAGCCTCATATTCATAATTTGTTAGTTTCTTTGATTGATTCTCTTAATCGAATAGTTGTAGAGAAAAAAGTGGTGATGACATTTGGTGATGGTGAGGAAGGTTGGTAGAAGGATTTGGTTGATTTAGGAGATTAGGAAACTTGATGAACAAAAATTACAGCCCACATAGTAATAATAGCTGATTTGGTTCCAAATTTGTTGGGCAAATATGTGCTAGGGAAGATCAAGAAGAAAGCCGGGGAAGGGAAAGGGAGAGAAGGCTACTTTCCATTATTTTTAGTGTTTGTTGAGATTGTTACCAAAGAAAGTGATTGATGATTTGAGTTGGAGGGTTGACAATTGAAAGAAATTAAAGGCAGAAATAGTGAATAATATGTTAAGTTGGCTTGGAAATTGACTGAAAGCCACTGGGAGCTTTTCTGGTAAGGTTGACTGGGTCTACTGATTGTCTTCTGGGTTAACTTCCTTGATGCTGACGGGAAGATTACTTTTGTACTATTGGGATTATTTGTTATGATTTCTTGAAGAAATGGAAAGAAGTAGTGGATAGAATAAAACCCCTTAAAATACCAAAAAAAAAAAAAAAAAAACAATCGGGAGAAGCTGTCTAGGAAATTGACCGAAAGTGACCTGTAACTTGTGCTAAGTTGGACCAACTCTGTTGATGGATTGGGTTAACTTCCTCTGCTGCCAACCACATTTATTTAATGTGATCTGTACACATTTGGCCAGGTCATTTGCTAAGTTTTAGTGTATCTGTTGTTCCCATCTTACATGCACATGCTCTTGATGTTGATGTGCAGCTAACAAGATTTCAACCTAAAATTATGTGTGTTTTGGGTCATGGTTAAGTGTGTTTTCATTTCTATCAATGCAATTTTTATGTCACTAAATTTGCGTGTATGCTTTTGTGCAATCATGTGCCTCTTCTCCAAATTGATACTAATAACTCTAGCAAAATATGGTTCCAAATTTGGAGAGTATCCCTTTTGTCTTTTTAATTATATCCTTCAGAAGTTCATTTTCTGTGCTGGACTAAAAATCTCCCAATGAAGAACCTGAAAAGTCTTTTTGCGGTGAGCTTATGTCCGGAACTAATCACTTCTTCATATTCCTTTAAATGTGGATTGCAGGGCGTGTACACACTCCATTGGATCTGTCTCAGGAAGAATGGGATAGTATCGTGAAAACTAACATGACTGGTACATGGTTGGTATCAAAATCTGTATGCTTGCGCATGCGTGATGCTAAGCAAGGGGGATGTGTGATCTTTATTTCCTCCATCGCTGGACTTAATCGTGGTCAGTTGCCTGGAGGATTAGCATATGCTTCTTCAAAGGTTGCAGTTAACACTATGACAAAGGTGCCTCTCTTCTTAATTTATTCTTACTTCAAAACCTAATTGTTATCATATAGGATTATTGACTTGCCAGCATTAGTGTCCATTGCTGAAAAACTATTCAATGATTTTAGCGAATCTTTTCGGCATAATTTTTATTTTTTGCCGTGAGAAGTAGAAAACTGAAGAGTTCATCCCTAGGCATACATGGGGACAGCTCAAGTCTAGCAATCCCAGCTAGTCATTGTTTCTTGTGTGCTCTTTTGATGTGCCTCACCAGTTAGAGGAGCAAACCAGTAAAAGACCAAATGGAGTTTCATAGTTTAGCTGCATAGTTTCATAACATTTTGTGATTAGTTAATCTTTAAGAATTTGAAACACTGAACTGGGTGGAAAGATTATTACAATATCATATTGCTAGTAATATAAGGATGAACGGATGATGGTTAAGATGGAAGGATGAATGACGGACTTGTCTGTCCCCTGATGATATGGCATTTTGGATTTGGAATTGGTCTCTAATCTTGTCAAAGCATCCAATTTTAACCATGATTTGACTGATTGTATGCACTTGGTCTGATCGTCAAACTAACAACGAAAGACCACATGTTATGCATTACTCTGATCTTGCTTACTTTCTGTTACTTTTTAACAAGAAAACTTTTCACCCACCTAGTTGTTAAAAATGCTTGTTCTGGTAGATATCTGTTGACTTATCCATCAAATTTGCATTTAGTTTTGGTAGCCTTGACCAAGGAATGAAGGCCTTTTTTTTTTCTGTTGAAAAATATGTGGTTTCCTTGAAACTTTGCGTCTGATGGTAATCAAGTTCACAGATTGAAATTATGATAATGGCTTGTAATCAAGTATTTACATTCATTCAATGATGTCGGATGTGTTCTAGCACTAATAAGCACTATGAAGCCTTTGTCATCTTGTCTGTTACCCATCCTCTCTTTCCTAGAAACAGTTATACTTGCTAAGCTTTGTTTTTCTTTTTTTCTTTTCTTACCAACTGAATATCTGATAAACCATTAACCTTTTCCCAAATTCTGGGTTTTCAAATACAAACAGATTATGGCAATGGAATTGGGGGAATATAACATTCGGGTAAACTCAATATCTCCTGGACTATTCAAGTCTGAGATAACTGAGGGCCTCATGCAAAAGGACTGGCTCAAGAATGTTGCTCTTAGAACTGTTCCTTTGAGAAATTTTGGCACAGCAGATCCAGCATTAACCTCTATTATACGATATTTAATTCACGACTCATCTGAGTATGTATCAGGTAATAATTTTATCGTGGATGCTGGAACTACAATACCTGGTTATCCGATTTTCTCTTCTCTTTAAGATAACAAGTAATGTAACCACATCGCAAAAAAGATTTCAATCTTTCTGGCTGAGAACGGTATTTCTACTTCACCATAAATACTGGAGATTATGCAGTAGAATAGAAGTTAATTAATGCCCGGTTATATATATTCTTTGTATAATTATTTTGATTTACATCCGCAGAGGTTCAAGTTTAGAACCCGACACGCATGGTAACATTTTTCTCCATGAATGAAATGGAGTCTTTGCATTTCAGCATTGTAACTGACTCTGTATTTTCGTTCTAGAGGATTGTACAGCGAGACAATATAAACTTTGAATTAGTGTTAGGAGACGTTTCGCTTTTGCCAAATATTAGTAATTATTTGAATCTACAGGGTGGTGGATGGACGCACCCTAGTACGTGTCATGGAACAAAATAGTTAACTATCACTTGACGAGGTAGAGAGCCTTTCCAATCTGGCCCTATATTTGAAAGAAGTCCAACAAACTAATAAGATCAACCCAGGCAATCCTTTGCAATCTTGCGCGATTGCTTTTATACGAGCATATATTTCTTGTCGACAGCCTTCCTCAAAATGTATCTTTTTCTGCAACAGCTTCCGGCTCTCATCATTGCTGAACGGACGAAGGCTCACCATGTTTGATTTGCAAAGCTACATTATGATGTCGACCAGTCAAGCGAATCCTGCTTCGATCATCATCATTTGGGAATGAAATTCTCAAGCTATTCCAACGCTTGAGTACCCTAAACATCATCCAAGATAATGATGAGGTACCTTTTATGCTTCAAGTTTTGGAAGATCTTAACTGCCAACTTTAACATCCATTTCCGGATGCTTGTTAGAGTAGTCAATGCCAACCAATTGCATGTTCCTTTTTCCCGTCTTCTTTCTACCTTGATGTGCTTAAAGTTTGCTTCTAAAATTAAAGCACAAAGCTCCAACTTGCATCGCTTAGTAGGTCCCCTAATTCTCTTCATTAATTTTTCTTCTACAAGAAGCAAGTATACTGCATTTCCAGCCTGCAAAATTACAGCTACAATGTGGTCATACATCTTCTCACCTAGTTTATTGAGCTGGCTTCCTGCAAGGAAGGACATGGCAAACCATTTGGTCTGCGGATTCCACTCAGGAAATCGGCATTGCATTGGTTTCAGAGCATCCAACAAAGTCCTGATTCTGGAACATAATTCATAATCATGTCTTTTAATTAATCTTCAAAACTGGTTGCAGCCACAACCAAATTTAATAACATTTGACTAAAATCTTAGTCAGTTGCAAATTTGAGGAACTTCATGTAACTTCCTTTCTTTTTTCTTATATTGAAGGGTGACTTGTAATTAATATGTAATATTCCCTCCGTTCTAAAATATATTTATTTCTACCAATTTTATCAATACTAATAAAAATTAAATAATGTATTTAAAATACAATACTTTTATTTATTATTTATACAACTCATCAACAATTGATACTTATTTTAAAAGAACAATACAATCTCATTTTAAATACCATTTCATTTCCAATGCAAGGGTAGTATTGAAAAAAATAAACAAAAGTTGCCTCAATTTGTGAATCGACATATATTTGAAAAGATTTAAGAATGGAGTTAGTAGGTTATGTAGGAGTATTTGATAATTAATAACTACGAAAGAGGAGATTGGAAAGAAGAAAAAAAAATCCACACATGGTACTTATAATCTTAATCAAAGGAAAAATACCTTAAAAAAAATTAAAACAAATGAGCGATTGAGAAAAATAAACCGCTTAACTTTAACCTTGGTACTTAAAAAAATTACAACGACATTGGTAACTAGAAATAAGGGGTTTAGCAGATCAACTATACATTTAGACCTATATGTCGTGAGTCCATGATGGCGTCAACTGAAACATCTGCTTCAGGTTGAAACCTAAAATTGATTATGCCATCTTCTGGTACACACAAATAATTGTAATCTTTGATGTACCGGTCACAAGGATAACTAGGATCCAAGACCTCTTGCTTTATTGGAAGAAAATCATCTTGATGATTTTAATACACTTCTTCACCACCAATCCACCATTGTCTTCACCCCACAAATAACTTCCATAAAAAGATACATGGTTCTCAGATAGGGGACTAAACCCACCAACAAACTCGAAGCTCCGGGTATCCACAGTGGACTCGCGATTGGAAAAGTTAAGACAATCTTCGCAAGGATCACGATCTGGATCTGGAGTGCTCGGTAAGAAATTTTGATCAACCGATGATTCCTAAAGAAATCAAAGAATCGAAGCATGACTTGAAATATACTGCATCATTCAAGAACAATTCACAGATCTACAAGAAAGAAAGAGAAGAGGAGAACAGTTTTCTTTTCTGGAATGTTCTTTTTCAACCAACTGGAAAAATGTAATTATAATGCCTTTTATATTGAACTACCTAACAAACTTTCTGCTATTTACAACCAAGTGACCAAACTTCCTACCATTTGCAATTAAGGACAACAATTGTAAAACACAAACACAGTAAAAATAAAACTAATCAAGTGATTCCAGGATCAAATCCTGTTTGTGGAATCACCACATATGCTGATTCATGTTGCTGCTGTTGATCATTCTTTACCCCCTTCAAGATGAGCATTCCACATGCTCATCTTGGACAAGAGAAAGCTAAAAACAGAAGTGGCAAGAGACTTAGTGAAGAAATCGACAAGCTGAAGAGAAGTAGGAACATGAAGAGGAATCAACACGCCAGCCTTGTATTGGTCACGAACAACGTGGCAATCGATCTCGATATGCTTCGTGCGTTCGTGAAAAACAGGGTTAGGAGCAATCTCAAGAGCAGCGTTACTGTCACAGTATAAGGGAACAGGCAAGGAAGGTTGAACACAGAAAATTTTCAGAATGTACAAAATCCACTGAAGCTCCCTGGTGGCAACAACCATAGCTCGGTACTCCGCTTCAGCGGAGGAACAGGAGATGGTGTCTTGTTTTTTTGTTTTCCAACTGATTAAACTACTGTCTAAGAAAACACAATACCCGGTCAAAGAATGACGACTAGTACGCCAAGAGCCCCAGTCGGAATCTCAATAGACTTTCAGATCAAGAGCAGCATTGGAAACATAATAAAGACCACGATGAACACAACCAGAAAGATAACGCAGAACATGAAGAGCAGCTGTCCAGTGAGAAGAATGAGGATTCTGGACATGTTGACTCAACTGCAGTATAGCATAAGTAATGTCTGGCCGAGTATAATTCAAATATAAAAGACGGCCAACTAACCGTCGAAACTGAGCAGGATCGGGATGAAGAGGAGTGGGATCTCGATCCTCAGAGACAAACTGTAATCTTGGTGGAAGAGTACCAACTGCCTTGCAATCCAGCAAACCAACTGAACCAAGAAGATCAATAATATACTTGCCCTGATTAATAAAAATTCCAGAATTAGAACGTGCGATTTCCATGCCAAGGAAATACTTCGCATGTCCCAGATCCTTAATAGTGAAAAGAGCATGAAGGTAAGCTTTGACACGAGCTATTTCAGGCTCACTAGTCCCAGTGACTAGCACATCATCAACATACACTAAAAGAAAAATTTGAGACTGAGCAGTAATATTGAAGAACAAACAGGGATCATGATATGATTGCTAAAAACCAAAAGTTGTTAACCTGGTGGAGAATTCCAAATTCCATTGATGGGAGGCTTGCTTTAAACCATAGAGGGACTTCTTCAACCTGCAAACCTGCCCAGGTTGAGCCTTAGTATAACCCAGAGGCGGCAGCATGTATACTTCCTCCTCCAAGGAACCGTGAAGAAAAGCGTTGTTGATATCAAGCTGGTGAATCGGCCATTCCTTACAAGCAGCAATAGCAAACAATATACGAACTGTGACGACTTTAGCCACAGGGGAAAACACTTCAGAAAAATCCTCCCCTTCGATCTGTGCGTAACCCTTAGCAACAAGCCGAGCCTTGTACTGTTCCACAGTCCCATCAGCATGACGCTTAATTTTGTAGACCCACTTTGACCCAACTGCCTTCTTACCAACAGAAAGCTGAGTCAATTCCCAGGTATCATTGAGCTCAAGAGCCTCAAGTTCTTTGTTCATGGCCTCTACCCACTTTAGATTAGTTCGGGCCTGATTAAAGGTACTAGGTTCTGAACTATCAGACACATTAGCAACAAACATTTTATATGCACTAGAAGGAATAAAGGAAGAATCAGAGGATGGGATTAAGCTAACAAAGCTGGTTTCATAATCTTGTAACCAAACAGGGCGTCTCCTATCTCGAGTACTGATCCGAAGAGGAAGGGGATTAGGATCAGGAGAAACAAGAGAAGAAAAGGTAGGAGAGACAGAGGGTGAAGGAGAAGATGAAGATTCAGAGAGGGGATCAGTAAAAGGAGGGGTAAATGGTGAGGAATTTGAGATATCTGGAAACTGTGATTGTGAAGAAGAGATGGTAGAGGAAATAGGATCAGAAGGAATATGATAAGAAGGCTGAATGATAGAGGAATAAGAAACAGATATAGAAGGGAATATTTGTTCATGAAAGAGGACATCCCTGGAAACTAAAATCTTACATAGAGAGGGAACATAGATCTTGTAACCTTTTTGGGCATGGGGATAACCAACAAAGATACCTTCAAAAGATTTAGGATCAAATTTATCACGACAGGGACCTTTATTGAGTGTAAATGCTCTACAACCAAAGGTGCGTAGAATGGTGTAATCAGGAGGTTGTTGATAAAGAATTTCATAGGGAGACTTCCATTGTAAAAGATGGGATGGAAGCCGATTGATTAAAAAAGTGGCTGTAAGCAGAGACTCCCCCCAAAACGTTTTAGGCAACTTTGACTGCAAGAGTAAAGATCTTGCATCCTGCAGAAGATGGCGATGTTTGTGCTCCACAACCCCATTTTGTTGTGGAGTGTAAACACAAGATCGTTGATGAATGATCCCATGATCACTAAAAAGTTGGGAAGAAGAATGATTAAGAAATTCGGTACCATTGTCGGACCTTATTGTCCTAACTTGTTTATTGAACTGAACAAGAACTAATTTAATAAACTGAGATAAAAGATTAGATACCTGACTTTTTTGTTGGAACAAAATTGTCCATGTACTACGACTATAATCATCGACAATGGTAAGAAAAAATTGACAATTGGTAAGAGTTTTATATTTATAGGGTCCCCAAACATCAACATGCAGTAATTCAAAACATTGTCTGGTTTGTATTGAACTAAGAGGAAAAGGAAGTTGACACTGCTTTGATAAAGGACAAATTGCACACTGCTCTAAACCAATTTTACCGGTAATCAAAGAGGTACAAAGGGAATTATCTGAACCAGCAACATGCTGTAATACCGAATATGAGGGATGTCCTAATCTAGAATGTAGCATAATGGGTGAAACAATAGCCGTACAAGCAGTACTTGCTGAAGAAGCATCTGATGCAGGCTGGCAAGAGGCTCGAGTATGAAGCATGTAAGAGGCGTATTTCTGTTGTGATTGTATAGTGGCTTGTGATGTGAAAGAATGCTCATCCAGAACATAAAGTTCCCGGATAACCCTACCTGCTGCAAGGACCTTCCCGGTATTAAGGTCCTGGAGTAAGCAAAAATCGGCGAAAAATTTAAAAAATAGGCTTGAAACTTTGGCTAATTTTCGGATTGAGAGTAGGTTGTATTTGAAACTAGGCACATACATGCATGAAGAGAGTGTTACGAACTCAGAAAGTGTAACATCCCCGAAATAAGAAACATATTTAACACTTCCATCAGGAAGTAGAATGGGTGTAAGTGTATCAGAAGGCTTAATGTGATGCATGAGCTTAAGACTAGTGCACATATGACCCGTTGCTCCTGTATCTGTAATCCAAGCCCTAGGACTAATATAATCAGAAAGATGAGAACTAAAAGTAGGGAAAGTATTGCTACCTGAGATATCATGGAAATGAGCCATGTTCACCATTTGTTGACTGACAGTTTCGGCAACTTGCTTCCCCTTTGAAAGCTTCTCCAATTGTTGCTGTAAGGCGAAAACCATAGACTGAAGCTGATCTATGTTTCCTGCTGAGCCCATCAACGGAGAATCAAGCACCTCTGCATTGACCATATTAACCGAGCCATACTTCGGGGCAGACACTGCTCTAGCAGAACCTGATGCTGAATTCCTCTTAGAGGGCCACCATTCTGGATATCCATTTAATTTGAAGCATCCATCCTTCAAATGGCCTGTTCCTTGGCAAAAATCACACTTCATATTTGCCTTATCGGTTGCAGTGAGTTTGAGCTTAAAACAGTCAGTCTTCAAATGTCCATTAGTCTTGCAATAGGTGCAGAATAAAAGCCCACTGCCTCCCTTACTCTGAATATGGATGCTCTGAGGATTAGTATTGATTCGTGCTG